ACCAGCCTGTTATCCACTTGAATGAAGAAAACATTTGCAAAGACATGCTTTTGAAATATGTATTCCTCAAACAGTGAATGCCTGAATATTTTTAGTATGCTGGTTTGGCTGAAAGGACACCATCTTTGTAGAAGGCTTTGTTCTTCTCCTCTTTGTCTATAGCCTAAGATAATTGAAATACAGCCTGTTCTTGCATGGAGGCCAAATGAGAATGCCAGTAGAGCCTCTAAATTTTTCATGTCATCAGCAACAAGCTGCATAAATTTAACAAATTAATCCAGGATGCATAAACGTATCCTTTCAACCATCCTAACACAGATGAATGCCATTTGCTTGGAATATCTGAGGAATACTTTCTTCAGTCATCAGCATCAGCTTTTCACTTCATGCTGTAGCTAAAACTCACAATTGGGAAAAGGATATGAATTTAACCTTCAAGTAAAAAGAGTGGGTGAAAATCTTATAGCTGTACCATTGCTGTTTACAGAGCTGGTTAATCAGATGGATGGGTATTTATACTGACTCCTTCAGGCATTTTGCTTGTGTGTGATTCAGAATTAAGAGCCTCAGCTCCCTGGGTAGTCAACAGTCAGCTTTGGGAGGAGGACATGAGGTCAGGATCATAAATTGATGCCTGCAGTAAATACAAGTCAGCCTGCGAGTGCTTGTGAAGTTGACTCTCAGCATTTGAAGAAGGTCCTTGGATAAACAAAGACAATGTACAGTAAATTCTGCAGCAGAACCTGCTACAAACAGGCATTTGCAATGACTCAAGGTATATTACTTTGAAATAAATGTTTCTGTTTGCACACTTCATTGGCTTTCTTGAGGCAGGCAAAGTGGGTACTACTGATGTTTGTCACAGTGCCACATGTGGTTTGTTCACGGGGATGCAACTTCAGTGCCATCACGCTGCCTACTTAAAAATAAATTTACTCATGGCAGGTGATTGAAGAAGTAAGAGGATCGTATGATGATTTTGCTGTCTATGCTTAAAAAAATATTACCTCAGGAAGGTCTTTGTAAATGAAAGTTTACTGATCAGGCCTCACCTCCTACTGAGACCACTCAGGCGTATTGTTGTGGAAAGGGTTAATAAAACTGCAGTTTGTCTAAAGACTCATTTACATCGTTGAATTTCTCTCAGTTTGCAGAGTAACAGGAAACACAGTTGTGACGATAAAATTATTCCAACTTGCAATGAAATAGAAAGTGTTATTGCCACGTGTGTGCAATGTACATTGCCCAGAATGTGTTTGCTGCCTCAGTGGTAACGTAGATCTGCACTGATGTATTTTTCACTGCTGTGTTTGCCCTCTGCTCATTACAGTCCTATCTTTGGCATATTTTGTTTTCAAAATTATAGTGAAATCGCAAAAAAACAAGTGTGCTTGTAAAATACATTTATCTGCTGTGAAATAGTTCTAGTGTACTTCCTTGCTTTGCAGTAAAGATTCCTCTTTTCCACCCAAAGTTATGCTAAGCCAGAGCCCAGCATGATTAATACTCGATCCTCAAGTCTGTTATATCAGATTACTTTAGAAGTAGTGTATTTGCAGGGATGGGTAATCCCCATATCCTCATGAAACACGCACATTTATGTATAGGCTTAGGGGACAGAAAACGCTAGCTTTTACTACATTTGGTGTTTGGGGATAGATCACGTGTCGTGTGATGCGCTGGTAGAGGTTAGAGCTGGTTTTGAGCAGCAGAGAATAATTATAATGAAGACACCTGTTTTACCAACGGAGGGATGAGGAATAAAATCTCCAGTAAAATGTTTGAAAATATTCTTAAATTTTTATAAGATAAAATTGCTGTTAAATGGGCGTGCTGTTTGTGTGCTGAATGAATGAGCTTTAGTTCGGTTCTTTGGCATGACTTATATAATTTACTGGTGGCTTCTCAGGCCCTCAGAAATACAGTCATGCCAAAACAGGGCTAATAAAATCATCCCTCCATGCAAAACCATATTTTATGTAGGTGTTACTTATAATATTTCTGGAATTGTGGACATAAATTTACATGTATTTTCATACTTTGGTGTCAAATATTTATTGTAGCAGCTACATTTTTCAAAGAGGCTGTGAGCTAACTAATTTCCTTTCGCTCCTTTGGGGACTGTAAAAAGATTTTCAAAGGCATACTTGTTCTTGAGAACAAGTTGAAATTGTTCTAAAATTGAAAAGCCTAAACTTGGCGTGTGATGTAGAAGCAAAAACTGCATAGTAGAAGCTCTTGTCTACATCAGAGACTTTAAAAACATATTTGCTGATGCCGATTGTCTTACAAGTATTTGGTTTCTGAAAAAGTCTTCTGCAATCAGCAGACTACTTATTGTTGAGCTTTGTTCTTTAGATGCACAAGCTGACCTAGCCAAAACAGCAGCAGGGTTTTATGCTAAGACTTCATTGGGCTCTTCTGCAGTACATCTGCAGTTGGGTGCAGTTACACCTGCCTGGCATAGAAGGCTGTCACACTGTGAATGTCACCTTGCTTTTGGGTGAGATGTACAGCATATTCTAGATATGAGCAGACATCTCAATATAATCTGAAGTGCTAAGCATCTAGATTTAGGTGCAGAAAGACCTCACCGTGATACAATTTTAAAAGGTGGTTTGTTATTCATAAAGGTGTGTGCTGCCGCAAAGAAGAGTCAGAATACTCACTGACTTATGCAGACTTCATATAGTTTTCATGCAGCTTCCTGTGATGAAGAAGTTGGGTTGTTGCTGTGAACCAGCATGGTCTTCTTTCTTTTCTTGGCAAGGGGTTTTTTTGGTGGTTCTTAGGGGAAAAGAAAGTTCAGTGAGTGTTCACCAGTATAGCGAAACACTTCCTCGTTCACTTGCTGTTATTTATACAGGAAAGCACATTTTGCTGCTCACGAGTGTGTGGTGATTGTTAAGATTTGTGAGGGAAGGTTGGTTTTGCTGGCACTGCCATGGAGAATTGCATGCCCTGAGCAGGGAGGGCTTCTTCCACACATTGCACTTGTTGATGACTTGATAACCCCTCACCTCACGCTGCCGCCATTTCTGCTCCAATGTCGGACCACAAGCGCTCCCACCTGTGGGCAATAACACTGCTCTTTTTCACTCCTTTTCCCCTTTCTAAATTCAGATGCTCTGCTACTTCAATATATGTGTTGAAGGTGGAGCAATTTCTAAATGAAAGTGCTTAGTTTGACTGGGTAAACCCACCATGCTCACATAGAGCTGCAGCTGGTGGAGGAAGTGGGATCTGCCCCAGCCTCCTTCCAGAACGTTCTCTTTTCTTCAACTGAAAAAGTAAAGGTGAAAATAATGGAAGTTTCTCACAACTTCTCACCCCAGAGCTTACATGGCACAACCAGCTGAAAGCGTGGTCAACAAGAAAAAAAAAAAAAAGCTCCAACAAAAAGACCTTTTTTTGTCAGCATGGTCTCTTTTTAATCAGGTCTGATGTCTGAAAGACTTGATTTTCAGGAACAGGACAAAGCCTCCCTAATTACCTTAGGGGGACAAGAATACTTTCATTCAGATGTGCTGAGAGCACCGACAGCAGCTGACTGTAAACAGTTTGTGCACAAACATTGGGCAAAAACCTGAGGTGCAGAGCTCAGCATGGCCACCCATATCCTGGGGCAGCGATGGGCAGAGCCATTGGGCCTCAGTAAATAACATGGAGGTGTTAAACTGTGGAACATCACCTCCGTTCCCCTGGTGCTGTTTTTGGGAGTATGTGCTGAGCCCGTGACATTTTGCCTTCAAATTTCGGGATGTTTCCGATCTGTGGTTTGAGAGAAGTTGTTGCATTTTGTTTCGCCTCAAATTTTATACGAAAGCCACAACCAGGGGCACCAGAAGGCACAGACAGAGCGCTGCCGAGGCCGCGGCCCGCGTGGAATTGCCTGCTGCAGCTTTAAGATAGGTGCCGGGCGCTGCGATGCCGGCTCCTCCCGACGGCTTCTATTTGAAGCCGGCTTCTCACGCTGCACATAACCCACCATCTTCTCCATCAGGGCGTTTTTCTTTTCTTTTTCTTGTTTTTTTTTTTTTTTTTTTCTCCCCCTCCTCTCCTCAAAATCCACCAAAACTGAAGAAAAATCCAAGTGACTGTTCTTAGCAGCTGTGTGGCCCGGAGTTCAGTGGGGAAGCGGCTTCCTGCCGTCCCTATTCATCACCTGCTTCAAAGGCCGCCTGGCTGCTCCAGTGTGCAGGCCAGGTAGGGTGCCATTGTGCGCAGGCGGGGAGGATTAGTATCAAAGCTGCGGCAACCAGGCCCTTGGTCTCGGGCTGCCATTCAGTCTAGCGGGGAGAGGCTGGGGCTGGCCAAGGTCACAGCAGCCAGTGTGGTGCGGACTGGGAAAGGATCCTGAGAATAGAGCGCTGCTTCTGAGACCCTGGTGCGGGCTTGCAGCACAGCAGGTGCCCTTCTGGAACACATACATCTGTTTATGTTGGGGTAGCGTGGCTGACAACGGGATAATAGAGCTTTGTTTTTTATAATTTTCTTTTTTCAGAAAACAAAACAAAACCTGTACACACCACAACGTTGGATGTTGAAGGAAGAGCTTTCGCTCTGGAAAATCATCAAGAAATCCTTGAAAGATTTAATACTGGGGTGGGGGGGTTGCGTTTGTGTACTTGAGCAAAGGGGCGAGCAGGCTGGCTATTAACCATTTAGGATCCTCAGCCCCGCGGATGAGCAGCAGCAGGGTATGGGGGGACCGTTTGCGGAACGCGACAATGCAATTTTTTTTTTTCCTTTAAACGCTCCGACATTTGTACCACCAAATTGGTTAAGGATGCGCTGGATTTGCTCGGTTGTCGCCATTGTTGGAATTGTCTGGAGGAATTCTGTCACGCTAACGGTGGCTTTTTAAAAGGTGAGGTAATAGTGACGTAAAAATAAAATCGCCAACTTGATGAAATTAAGGGGAAAATTAAGCTGTAGACGAGTTGTCATGACGACAAGGATGTTCTATTGATGAACTGTACTCCTCACTGTCCAATCAGATAGTGGAGCTGAAGCTGGAGCATGAACAGGAGAAGACGCACCTATTCCAGCAGCACAACGCAGAGAAGGACTGCCTGGTCCGACACCACGAACGGGAAATCGAGAAGCTGGAGAAGCAGAGTCGCGCTGCCATGGCAGAGCACGAGAGCAAAACTCAGGAATGCAGGAAGCGAAACGGGCAGGTAACAATCAATAATGTTTGAAAGGCGTACACTTATTAGAAAATGCTAATAATTGGGGTTTCCTGTTTTCCAGCGTGGTTGGTGATGTACGCTGTGTGATCCTTTGCGAAACTGGCACGTAAACGTGATTTTGTTTTTCTTTTCTTCCTTTTTTTTTTTTCCGCTTCCCCCCTCCCTTCCCACTACTGAATAGGGCTTTAACTGCAAAAACCACAGGTAGCCAGATTAAAAATCCCATGGTGCGCTATAACTCGGCCTATTTATAATCTTGTCTCATTTTCTTTCATGATGGATTTGTTTAAGAAAAAAGGTATCTGTTCTTCTCCCCCCTCAGCCCTCACATTCACCCCTCCTTTTCTCCTTCCTGGGCAAATCCATATGAATTATGTCTACTTCATTCGTATGCTTTTTTTGTTTTAAATCTCTGCAGGTAACTCACAGATGGCTTTATTTCATTTTTGTCCTTGTCTTATTGTTTCAATTTTGCATTCTAGATTTGCATTGTGTGTTTGGCTACGTATGTCAGATATTTGATGAGACAATGTGCCTTTTGGATTGCTTACCATCACGTTTATTTTCCTACACACGCATACACCCCTCCCATCCTCCATCTCTGTGGTCACTGTTGGAAGCCATTTGGCAGAATAACCCCCAGCTGGGGTAGCATTTGACTCTTCAAACTTCTGGACGAAATGTGCACTGTCAGCATGGAAAATGATCTTTATTAGTTTTCAGTTAAAAAAAAAAAAAAAAATCTTACTGCATTTTTTCAATATATATTTTTTGTAAGGATGGCATGGTGTATTTTCCAAAGAGCCTATATGAAAAAGGCCTAAAATGGCAACATTAAAAAATTTAAGATGATTTCATAGTTTGAAAAGTATTCAGAAAATAATCTTTACTAATCAGCATTAGAATTGCTTATCGTGCGTGGAATATTTTATACTAAAACTGGACATTTTCGTAAGGCATCCTTAACGACATGCTTTCCGCGCACCGCTGCCTTCTCTAAGAGATGTACGACTGACATTGAGGAATTTTCATTTTAATTTCCTGTAGACTGGTAGGCTGTGTCTTTTACTGAAAACTAACCTGGCAAAGCAAAATCGAATATTTTAATTTTTTTAACAAATTTTTTGGGCTACCTTTGGACGATTCAGACTATCGAAATCTGCCTTAAGCTTGTTGAAAAAGAAGTCGCGTGCTGGAGGAGGACGGGGGATATATTGCGGAGCCAGGGCTTATTTCTCTGTTTCCACCATTATGGATTTCCAAGGAAAATAAGAATTTTGTGGGAACGCTTGGGAAGAGGTTATTCAGATGGCTTCTGAAAAATTAAACCATGTCCCCGATTCCCCACTTCTACCGTGAGAGTGAACAAAGACGTAAAGAGCTAAAGGGACTGGTTTCTATTTGGATTTTTTTCTTTGGCCTAAGATAGGTACGTCTTAACTATATAGCTATTTGCAAGTGTCCTTGCAGAGTCGTATCTTACCTATTTGCCTCACGTCATTTGTGTACCAAGGCAGAGCTGTATATCTTGGGTTAAAAAACGGTTTGAGTTCTGTCTACGTGACCACGTTTGTTACAACTGTTCTCTATAACGTCGAGCACAAACGCAAAGGGACTGTCTTAAGCAAATGCAGAGAATCTGGGAGGCGTCTTGTAAGTATATTTCTATTTAGTTCTGTTGTGGGTTGTTTCTGTTAAAGACTGGAGCCGAAGTTTGGTTGTGCATTCTGTTTGCAACGGGATATAGGATGCTACTACAGGCGCTGCATAAAGAACTTGGAATCATGGCAGCTGTCATGAAAATCGGAACAATCTGAATAGCAAAAAACTTTGGCCTTTTCTTTGTAGTTTGAATGGCCGCGTACAGTTGTTTGAGCATCGGTGCCCTGAGAATGACATGTAAATCAGGGGAAAAAATGTTATTGCCTTTGACTAGAAGAGCTGCTGTTTATTTAAATTCCAATAAGTATCTATCTGCTTTCAAGGACGCATCGTTTTTCTGTTTCTGTTCCTTCATCTGGTCTTTGTTTAGAATTCACTTTTGTCTCTGCAGAGAGCTTACCGGACAATACGGGTGTCTTTTATGGAATTACAGAGTGTATTTTTAATTAAAAAGGGAAAAAAAAAAAAAGGGAACTACCGAAATGCATAATCATCTAACGTGACTAATGACCAGTGTCCATTGTGAAACATTTGATGGTCTCTTAACAAAGATGTCACAGCGATCTAATGCATCTGTGTAGTCTAGGCTTTATATAAAAATAATAGTGATACAAAAATTGTTAAAATTGAATCACGTTTGACAGCAGTAATCTTAGGAATTCTCTGTATTACAGAGATGGTGCTCTGAGACGAGAGAAGAGGCCATTTTGCCTTGCTAAATGAAAAGTGGATTCGCTGAGTATTCAAAAAAAAAATAGCAGTAATTAGTGTTAATCACTTATGAGTACCTTGGTTTGAAGGACCTATGGGTTCAGTGTTCAGGGAGCAATTTGAGAGCACCTTTATTAAAGATATTCACTTCTGTTTTTTCTAAAACCTTCCCCAGTGAAAGTAGCAAATGTTTAAAGAACGCATTTCGTACTGCATTACTACAACCAGATATGAGTGAGTACTGCAGAACAATTCATTGTACCACTGCTGAAGGGATCCACATCTCTTTCACATAGGTCTTTAGCTACTGTAAGAGCCAATAGATAAAACTGTTCAATTTTACTCAGATATATATGCTTTTATTAATGTTTCACTCAAAACCAAAATGTAAAAAAATAAAGATTTCAGTGCATTGCCAGGTATTGTTTCGTATAACAATATGTTACTGTTTCTTTGAATAACAACGTAAGTATATTTTCAGGAAAGGAATGTGATTTAAGCAGATCACCTTTTGTATTCCTGATGAATTTCAGGATAACAACTGCATTCCACTTCAGCTCTTGCATTTATCTATTTCTAGGAGGCTTACTTTGATTTTTTTCACCTGGGGTTATAATGCTCAGGGAGGAGTAAATTGACATGTAGGTCAGTAAAAGTCAGAGCAGTACAAAGGCTTTTATATCATGCTGTGTTCTTGTAGTCGTTTAAATCCTATGTGTTTCCTATGAACTGCCATAATATTGCCTAAATAATAGTTAATAACAAAGGAATTTCGTTTGCTAAAGAGTCAGTTTTAAATCACTGCTTGTGTTTAATTCAGATTTTGGATATGAGCTGGATTTTCTTTAAGAATATTTTGAAGCAATAGTTTGGTCATTCATTCCTCACTTCCCTCCATAATTTTCATGCATTCATTATTTTGCTAACTGGGGAGCTCCCTGGATGAGAGTGCACTTTCTTTGTTTTAATGAAAACAACCTCGCTACTGAATCAGATGTTTTTGGAAGCAAGGCTTCTGACTACAGAGAATAGAAGATGTTTTTTTCTACTGTGAAATAAGATAGCAAGGTTAGGAAATCTTAACAACCGCTGCCAGCTGTGCCAGCTGTGCCCTTGGACTTCCCCTTTATCCCGTGGCTGTCATTCTCTCACCAGCATCTGACACGTGTCCTGAACCAGCTCAAAGATTTCCGTGTTCCAGCTGCTGTACAGAGTTGGATCACTTTCATGCTTGTTCTCTGACCATTGACCTTTGGGCAAGAAGGAAGAAAATACCTCTGTAACTTCAAATACAGTGCTCTGCACTAAAGCAAGAGGGGAAAGAAGTTCCTTGAGGAAACCAAATTCTTCCTCTACGTTCTGTTGCACAATAATTGCCAAATCTACTCTTGTTATCCATTCATAATTCGGTTAAGAGTAACTTGAACACCGAGGCATGCTTTGTTGCTTTCTGTCACTGATGTCACAGTATTTAATTTTAACATATACTGTTTATTATCTCAAAAACTTGGCTGCTTTGAGAGGGTGTCAGTGGTGTTTGGGGGTGTCTTAAGACTCTCAATAATCCAGTGCCAGTTGGGAGAGAAAACCTCTGGCAATTCTAAACTTGTTCAAATACACACACTACAAATAGAAGTCCAATTTTATACTTATTTATATATGTAATATATAAACAAGGAATGGGCTGGAGGTGATGAGAAGACATTTTTCTGTCTGAAATATCTGTTTCCTTTTTCCTCTATTGCGTTTTGCTCCTCATGTTCTCTTCTTGGCCTCCACCAGCCTGCTTCCGTTCACCTTCTTGCAGACCTGCAGTTCCTTTGCAGACCTGCTGCGCAGGGCATCCTTCCACTTTTCCTCTGGCAATCTGCTTTGAAAATTCACATTTGCACTTGTATGCTGTGATCCTTCTGCAGCTGTTTTCTCTGAATTAGTTCTGAGCTCTTTGTGAGCCTGTTGGGTTCAATAATACACAAATAAAAAGGCAACAATCATTGTTTTCCTTGAAGCAAATTGTTGGTGTGCTTATGGATTGTTAGTGTATCAAGCAGAGGGAAAAGAAGAGATTTATCCTGTCTCCTCCATATGTATGTTGACTAAATATACATAATAGTGCGTATGTCTATATATATAGTCAGCATATATATCTCTATATTCCATGTGTACTGGTGTGCCTATCAGATAAAGAGCTTGATCAACTATTGATAGCTATTTAATAATAAGTAAATAGCCCCATGTGTGTGCAATTTCTGTCCGTGCTATAAAAGGAACTTTTCATTGCTGCATCAATACAGAAAGAATCCAGGAGCATTTGTTTCACAATAGGAGACTTTCTTAAACCTTGATCTGTGAGAACCTACCCTAAATCTCTGATCAGCTTGGTTTTAGTTTGGTAGTTATTCTGATATCTCCAAGCATCGGTTTCCACCCAGATGCTCTTCCAGTATCACTGGAAGCATTTTATTTGATTGTGTCTGGAAGGAACAGATAAATGTACTCTGTGAAACTTTCAGATGTTGATGGTGCTACTGAAGTCACTTCTGTATATAACTTTAAGTAAATAAATTCTATGACTCATTTTTTCTTTGACGACTTTTCTTCTCACAATAGAAGAT